CTGGTACCAGCACCAGCAGCGGAATAATCGGCAGCGTTATTGAGATGCAGCTCCACAGGAGATAAACACATGTTTAGGCGTTGGACCTGGGTCGGGTGCGATTTCGCCCAGAGCAAGTTCAGGGAGCTCCCACGCTTCGCCACAGCCTGACGATACTCGACCCACAGACACAACACACCAGAACCAGATTTCTCAGAAGGATGTCTCCTCACGCCCTGCAACAAATTCAATCAGTCACGCTCTACCAGACAATCTACTGTGGTATGACGCGCCAGCATGCTATGTGCAACAAGCTCACTGACCGAAGTGGAGCACAGCCCAGCCACCTACGCAGTCGCCAGTCCTTAGCGCGTTCCCGCCCCGAGCCGTCGATGCCCCAGACACGCCTCTATCGATCTTCCTTCCACCCACCAGCCCATCCCATTCCATCACGAGGTTGATAGGACCAGGCAAGAGCGCGAGGAGGTGGAGGAGGAGGAGGAGGAGGAGGAGGAGGAGAAGGAGGTGCAAGAGGAGAAGGACTGGGGAGGAGGACCGGGGAGGAGGGGGACTTGGGGTAATATGGCTTTGGTCCGACTTGACCCCGTTAGCGGGCCCAGTTTCCTGGAGTTACCACCCTGAAGGGCACGGTGGCCCGATGCTCCGAATGGCCTGGGGCTGTGGCCCAGACCGCACGAAACGAGGTCGTTCTGGGCTTGTAACTTGCCAGAGTCGCAGGTAGGCCGCACGGGGGTCCCAAGATGGCCCCCAGGGCGGTCACAGGATGGCCCACGAGTGAAATCAACAGCGTAGATCTTCATGTTGGAACCTGCCAGAGGCCTCCAGACGGCTCCAAGAGTCCCCAAGTCGGTCACAAAATGGCCCACAAGGCAGATCGGCAGCATCGTTTCTCATCGTTGGGGAAAATGTGGTTCTTCTGTCATGCTAACATGATTCGACTGACTGCTAAACTAGAAACATGTTGGACAGTCAGCTGTTTTACTCGAGGTGTTCTTCTCTCCTCTGGGTTGTGGTCGGGGGTCGGGCTGGGAACCCGCTCGACAATCGACGGAACTCCGATGCCACGGAGTACTGCGTGGGAGCTGTGGCTGACGACGCGCCCATCCGATGACGGATGGGCCGGCGCATTTCTCGCTCCCGGTGGGAAGGCACCGCTGCCGCGGCCGGCCGCTCCGGCCCGCTCGACGCGGAACTCTTCCGCGTCCGAGCGCTCGTGCCTCTTCCTCCCCTCGCGCGGCAGTCCTCGTCCTTGTCCCTCTCTTGCATGCCGGCTAATTAGCCACACGCTCGCGACCACACGTGCTCTGTCGGCCCGAATTGCCGCACGTTGGAGCGGACTGCTGCTGCCTCGCCGCCGACGGAAACATCGTTCCCTTTGGGAAATCACGAGGGGCGGAAATTCGGGCCGTTGTTGTTCTGGCGCGCGCCCGCACCTCCTCAAAGTTGCAGCCCCTGCTCAGCTCAGCACACCTCCTCAGAGTGTCGGTGGCGACAACCTCGTCGCATGTACACGCGCACTACAGAGGAGCAGACTTTCACTACACTGATAGGCAAACAGCACAAGCAGGCCTAAGATCCGACCCCTGATTGTGTCACAGGGCATGCCCGAAGACTTGGGCGAGAGCATCTGCCAACCGCCGCCGCGGTCGGTTGGCGATTATGACTTCAACAGTTGCGCTGCTCCGTCCTATCGTTGCGCGGCCCGGAGGGGTAGGTGAGCAGAATAGGGATCGAGGTGCAAGTACAATGTCGTCCTGGCGAGCGGCACGCAAGCTCGCCAGGATCACGATAACCGAGCACAAACACTTACTAATGCATGTCGTCCAGGAGTGCGGCCCTGGCTGTGACCTTGAGGCATCTGCCTCGCGACGGGGGTACGCGCGCGGAATCAGCGGCCGACCTTGCCGCCGGGCTGTGTGCTTGAGGCAACAGCCTTGCGACGGGGGCACGCGTGTATAATCAGTGGATGCGCAATCAGTGGCGCTGCCGCTCGCTGGCGTCCAAAAGGGGGCGATGTGTCGTATCGGTTCGACGTCGGAGCGTGCAGGGCCGCGGGCCCCGCCGCTGGGCGACATTCATCTGCCTCGCGCAGGGGGTCAGTGCGTATGACCAGCGACTGCTCGCAAACTGATACTGCCGCCAGGCAGCGCCCACAGGAAACAAACTGCGAGAACGCGGGAAATGCGAATGTCCAGGACAGCCAGCCTTGCCGCTGGGCTGCGTCCTTTAGTCGACTGCCTCGCGACAGGGGCACGTGCGCGGAGCCTGCGGATGTGCGCAAGCTGGCGTTGCCGCCAGGCAGAGCCCAGTACGAGGCGGACCTTGGTAGTGGTTCGACGTGAGAGCGGGCAGGACTGTTGGCCTTGCCGCTGGACAACGTCCTTGAGGCATTTGCCTCGCGACGGGGGCAAGCGCGCAGAATCTGTGGGTCCACGGGGATCTGGCTTCGCTGCCAGGCAGCGCCCAGAGAAAACGAATCGCGAGTTTCAGGCTCATGTTAGCTGTGCAGAACTTCTGACCTTGCCGCTCTGCGTCCTTTAGGCGAATGCCTCGCGACGGGGGCAAACGCGCAGAATCTGCGGATGCGCGATGGTTGGCGCTGCCGCCAGCCGGCGTCCAAAAGGGGCGGTTCGACATCGGAGCGTGCATGGCCGCTGGACTTGTTGCTGGGCAACGTCCTGGAGGCATCTGCTTCGCGCGGGGGTCAGCGCGTATAATCAGCGAATGCTTGCAAACTGGCGCAGCCGCCAGGCAGTGCCCATAGGAAACACATTGCGAGAACGAGGGAGATGTGGGTGTGCAGGACCGCTGGCCCTTCCGCTGGGCTGCGTCCTTGGGGCGACTGCCTCGCGACGGGGGTGCGCGCGCAGAATCTGCGGATGCACGCGAGCTGGCACTGCCGCCCGGCAGTGTCGAATAGGGGACGAGTCTTGGCAGCGGTTCGACGTGGGAGCGTGCGGGGCCGTAGGCTTTGCCGCTGGACAACCTCCTTGAAGCATCTTCCCAGGGACGGGGGCGAGCGCGCAGAATCTGTGGATGCGCGGGGAGCTGGCGCCCAGAGGAAACGCATCGTGAGCTCCGGGGTCATGTTAGCGTGCAGGACTGCTGGCCTTGCCGCCGGGCTGCGTCCTTGAGGCGACTGCCTCGCGACGGAGGCAAACGCGCAGAATCTACGGATGCGCGATGTCTGGCGCTGCCGCCAGACAGCGTACAAGAGGAGACGAGCCGTGGTAACACAGGCGATGCGAGGGCGCGCAGGACCGCCGGCCGTGCCGCTGGGCTGTGTCCTTGAGGCAACTGCCTCACGAGAGGAGAGAGGAGTAAGCGCGTGGAAGCTGTGGGCGCGCGAAAGCCAGCAGTGCCGCCAGCCCCAAAGGAAGACGAAAGGTGGTGACTGGGGAGACGAGAACGCAGGGCCGCCGGCCTTGCCGCTGGGCTGTGTCTTTGAAGCAATTGCCTCGCGACGGGGGCAAGCGTGCAGACTTGTGGGCGCACGAGGGCCAGCACTGCCGCTGGCCAGCGTCCAAACTAATTGACGAACCGTGGTCACCGTGGTGACGGGAGAGACGGGAAAGCGTGAGGACCGCCGGCCTTGCCGCCGTTGTCCTTGAGGCAGTTGCTTCGCAACTGGGATGAGCGCGCATAATCTATGGGTGCGCGAAAGCTGGCATTGCCGCCAGCCAATGTCCAAAAAGGAGAGAAACTTGGTTATCGGTTAGATTTGAGAATGAGCAGGACCGCCGACCTTGCCGCCAGGCCGCCGGGCTGGGTCTTCGAGGCATCTGCCTCCCGACAGTGGCAAGCGCGCAGAATCAGCGGAGCCGCGGAAGCTGGCAATTCCGCCAGGCAGCGTCCAACAGTAGACGACATGTGATAACACGCGCGACGCGATGGCATGCTGGATTGCCGGCCCTGCCGCCGGGCTGCGTTGTTTAGGCGACTGCCTCGTGACGGGGGTAACCGCGCAGACTCTTACGCCCCGTGGTAAGACACAAAAAACATTGTCGTAAGAGACGCTGAGGTGAAGGCCTCCCGGTGAAGATCTCGAGGTGGAACGCTCGAAGTGAAGACCTCGATGTGGTCTCCAAGTGGAGAGTTACCTCGAGGTTAAGACCTCTCGGTGAGAACCTCGGCGTGAAGACCCCGAGGTGGGAACTACGAGGTGGAGATCTCTAGGTAAAAGCTGCGGGGTAAAGGCCACGAGGTGAAACGATTTCCGGATGTGCGACCTCGAGGTGAACGCCTAGAGGTAGAGACGGGAGGCGGATGAGGATATGGAGGAGGAGGAGGAGGAGGAGGAGGAGGAGGAGGAGGAGGAGGAGAAGGGAATTCTCGTCGCCAGCGCGGAGGGAATTCTCGTCGCCTTACTCTTTGAGTTGCTTGTGGCCGGCTTGTGCCAGAAAAAGGCATGCGCGGCCTTGTACGCCCGTGATGCCTGGACTGCCGCGTCCTCCGCGCGCTGCTTTTCCCTCCTTTCCCTCTTTCAAGCAGTGGCGAGGCGTCCTGACTGGTTTATATAGGCCCACCAAAGAATGTTCCCAAAACCTTTTGTTGTCCGAGCGAAACCTCCTTAGACCATTTCTGGCTGGGACAGTCTTGTTTAGTACATCGTGTCTATGTCCTGAGAAGATTGTTTTGTTCTTCGAGCATTTTTGGATTCTAAGATCATGTCGTGGTAGGCTTACAGGAATGCCAGGACGGTCGGTCCCTGCTCAACTTTTCTTTCTCCTCTTTTTTTGTTTGTGGATCATCCACATCGTATTCCTGCCACAGCGCTGGCTCCCATTTGACGCTTGTGTTTGCTTATGCGTTTTCCAACCCGGATGTTGTCGGTCCTTCCAGAAACAGGCGATATTGTTTAATTTGTAGCTTCGTTTCCGCAGTTCCGGCTCTTCACAACGCCGCTCCCGTCTCATCGTTGGCTCAATTTCTGTGTTCTAGGCCAATATGGAGAGGAGATCTACGCCATGGGAATGACGTCAGATCTGACGCGGGCGCACCTAGCTTGTTCTTCTCCTCCTCTCCCTCCCCCTCTTCTTCCTGCTGCTGCCGCTGCTGCTCGCCCCCCCCGGTCCACGTTTTTGGCTCGGGGGTTACTGTGTTTTCAGGGGCCGTTTGGCGCGCGAGCCGAGCGTGCCAGCCACCTCTCCAGACCAGATATGGCGAAGTGCAGTGCCAGCAGCATTCTGCACGAGGACGTGAGACGCAAGCGGTGCACCTGCACCTGTCCGGGCCAGGCCCGTCCACGGGTGCCAGAACGGGATGCGGTCTGCACTCCTGGCCGGGCGAGGCGGGTGTGCGTGCCGATCCTTGGGCTCAGGATGGGCCTGGCCAGGATCGGTGTGGGTGCGAAGTCCGCTCTCTCCCACGAGGGGGTCGAGGGGAAGTTCCGAGGGAACGCGCAGCAGATGGGCTGGCAGAGCCTGGACGGCCAGCGCAGCCGGGTCCTCTCCGCGTCGGCCGTCCGCAGGGCCGAGTGGTTCGAGGGGAAGCTAAAGATCCTCGCCGAGGCGGAGGACGGCAGTGCAGAGGTGCTCTCCCTCGAGAACTTCTCGCACGGCGACTACGACGCCCTGTGGCGGTACCTCGAGGAGAGCTGCGGCGTCTACCTGAAGAAGGTCAAGGCGGTTTCCGCTATCGCGGGGGGCGATTTCGACGCAGCCATGGTCGCGATCGAGGGCGCAGCAGACAGGGTGGACGAGGCCGCAGCGGGGACTGTGCAGAAGAAGGCCAAGGAGGCGGAGCTCATGAAGCAGGTGGAGCGCGTGCGCGACGGCCTAGACCAGGCTGTGCGGGGCGACAAGCAGGCGCTCAGCCGCGTGTTCGCCGCAAACGGGTGCGAGCGCATCGGTCGCCTGCGCCTCGTCGTCGACACTGTCCAGCTGGAGGTCTACCACTCGGACCCGCGCTGGCAGCACCTCCAGGGCCGCGCGGCCACCGTCGAGGCCGTGCTGCGGGAGCTGGGCACCTTCCGGCAGTGGAGGCCGCAGGAGAGCGAGGGATCCCTGGCGCGCAGGCATCCGCAGACGTTCAGCTGCACCACCACCACCACCATCCCTGGCTAGCGTCATTCTCGATGGGCGAACTTCCCACCACCACTACCATAGGTAGGATGGGGGAGAAGGGAGGATGGGGAGGTCCTCCTCTTCCTCCTCCTCCTCCTCCTTCACACTCCCCTCCTCCTCCTCCTCCTCCTCCTCCTCCACAATTACTCAACATGAATACTACTCTCCTCCTTCCCCTGATGACGGTTTGGGAGTGTTCGTCCCCCTCCCCTCCGCGTATTGTTTTTTACGCAGGATTCCCCGGAGTTGGGTTTTCGCGTGCATTTCTTTTCAAAATGCTGCTCTCGCTGAGGCGCCGGCCTCATTTTCGGGCCCCGCTCGTTCTGAATCGTGCTCCCGCTGCAGGCTGCAGCGCTGGCCTCATTTCCGCGCTTCCGCTCGTTGCGAATCCTCCTCCTCCTCTCTCCTCCTCCTCCCTCCTCTCTCCTCTCCTCCTCCTCCTCCTCCTCCTCCTCCTCCTCCTCCTTCACCTCTCCTCCTCCTCCTCCTCCTCCTCCTCCTCCTCCTCCTCCTCCTCCTCCTCCTCCTCCTCCTCCTCCTCCTACCTATGGCAGTGGTGGTGGAACATCGGCCCAGTAATCCTGAGCCCCGGGTCGCCGAGGCCAGAAGGGTGCGCATACGCCGCGCTGGCGCCTAGGAGCGCCCTGGCCAGGCACGGCTCGGTGGTGTGCAGCTGGACCCCCGCGTGCAGGCAGATCCTCCGGGAGCTGCAGCAGCGCCAGGGCGTCGGCGAGGCCTTCGGCGAGGCCTTCGGCGAGGCCCCGCGCCCCGCGCCCGGCGAGGACTTCGGCGAGGGCGCGGGCCTCGAGGGCGCGGGCCTCGAGGACGCGGCCACGGAGGCTGCGGAGCCCGCGCCGCCTGCCAGCGCGCAGCCTGCGCCGTGTGATCCTCTGCCGCCGCGGCAGCAGCCCGACGCCGGGGCGCTGCCAGTGCGGCCGGCCATCGGGCAGGCCGGAGCTCCGGACCTCCAGAGACTCGAGCAGAATCGAGTTCGAGCTTCTGTTTGTTGCTGGGGGGGTCGGGGTGGTCACTTTCGGCCTCTGGGGGCCGTTTTCGGGCCCAGGGCAGCAGATCACTATTTGCCAAGCCCCCCCCCGCCCAGCCCGAGGGCCCTGGACCGCCCTGAACTTCGGGTTGGGGGGTGTACGGGTTCCATCGTGTTTCCTCGATGCTCTGGAGTACCCGCCCACTGGAAATCGACGGGCCCAACGGTGACTTTGGACTGGGTTGGGGTGGCTTGGTAGGTAGTCCGCAGAACAAATGCTCAGGATGAGAAACCAGTCCTGGGGACGGGCTCGAAAGGACGGGGGGCCCGGGACTCGAAGATCTTGAGTCGTCGGAGTGCTGGTGAGGCGGCGGCGGCGGCAGATCCCCGCGGCATCCCCGCGTGCCTGGTCCCGAAGCAGAGGGCCAGCAGTCGGACGCGGGAGAAGGAGGACAAGCATGCCGCCAAGACGCATGCGGGCAGCGTGCTGGAGGGCTGGGTGTGGAAGCGGAGCCGCGTCCTCAAGCGTTGGCGTCGCCGCTGGCTGGTGCTCATGCCCGACAAGCTGATGACCTTCAAGCAGAAACACGACACGAAGCCCACCGAGGTGGTCCAGCGCGGCTTCGTCTACAGGGTCTACAGCGCGGACATGGAGATGTGCCTCTCCAAGTGCTTCTGCGTGAGCACCGCCTCCCGGGACTACTACATGATCTGCGACGAAGAGAAGCAGCGGCAGGCGTGGCTCCAGGAGGTGCCGAAGGCGCTGAGGTCCAGGTGGTGACGGCGCGAGGCTGCGAGTCGTGCGCCGCCCCGCTGCCCGCGCCGCGCGGTCGCGCGGGCGCTCACTTTGCCTCGCCGCTCCCGCCCGCGTGCGGTCTCTGTGTGCCTCCGCTGCGTCCCGCGCCTGGGTCTCCCCTCCCTCGCCTCCCTCCCTCCCTCCCTCCCTCCCTCCTGCTCCCTCCCTCCCTCCTCTCTCCCCTTCTCCCCTTCCTCCTCCCTTCCTCCTCTCCTTCCTCCTCCTCCTCCTCCTCCTCCTCCTCCTTCCGCTTTCACGTCCTCCTCCTCTTCCTTTTCCTCCTCCTCCTCCTTCTCCTCCTCCTCCCTCTCTTGGTAGTGTGACCTTCCTCCTCCTCCTCCTCCTCCTGCATCTGACCCTTTCTCCTTTTCTTCGTCTTCTTTGTTTTGCTCGTCTTATTAGTCTTGTGTTTCCCATCCCATGCTAGACGTCATCATTGCTATCATCATTACCATCATCACCACCATCATCATCCCCCGTCCACTTCCTCAATCACATCCTCTATCTCTCCGTCCCTCCCCTCCATCATCAACCGCCAAGAACTTCTCCATGTCCTTAGTCCTCCCCCTCCTCTTCCGCTCGTCGTCCTCCGCGCCCTTCCTCCTAACCCTTTTTCTTTCTCTTCTTCTTTTTCTTCTTTTTCCTCCCTGTCCCCCCTGTCCTCCTCCTCCTCCTCCTCCTCCTCCTCCTCCTCCCCAGTGAATATCGAGAGGCCTGCTGTCCGAGGGGGCGGCGGGCAGCTCGCATATCAACGGTCCGCCAGCGATCGCCGTGGCAGGATGTCCACGCACCTTCGCGGGCTGCACTGGGCCAGCTGTGCGCTCTCTGCTCCGCTCAGCCTCTGGAGGAGGAGGTCAGGGGCAACGCTCGGTGGGGACAGGCTGAGGGGGAGGTGCATCGACCCCCAATCGCCCACTCATCGTGGGGTTTCGCTATCGGGGGCCTATCGCCGACCCATCGGCGACGTATCGTCAATTCCCCCACCACTCCCCCGAGCCGGTCCCCCCTTGACGTTATTCAGGAGGAAGCCGTTGAGTCTCATTCCCATCAGTTGGGAAGCTGTTCTGAATTTTTGTGTTCTTATTTAATCGCTTCGCTCATGCCGCCGGCCCTGGAGCCCTCTTTAGGGCCTCTTGGGGGCCTCTTGGGGACCTCTTGGGAGTCTCTGGGGGCTCCTTGGCGGCGTTTTGGAGGCCCCCAGGGCCTCTTGGGGGGCTCTTGGGGGTAGTCGATTGCGGCTCCCCCCTCGGAGGCCACGATCCTCGTGAGGGGTGTCGAAAAATACCCTCCCCTGGAGTGGTCTGGTGGCTTCTCCCGGGCTTCTCTCGGGACCTTGCCGGGGTACTTTTCGTCCGGGGGCCCCCAGGGGCCGCTCCGCGCGCGCGAACTAGAAATATTGTTAACAAATTACCGGAGATCTTAGCACGCCTCTGGCCCGTTGGGCCGGCGAATTGCCGGCATTCGGCTTTTACGGCGGCCCCGAAGGCGTCAGCTCGGGCTGGGCTGGGGTGAGTCCGCCAAGCAATTGGGAATAATAAGAGGGCATGTTTTGACGGATTGGAGGTGATGGTGGAGGTGGATGTGGAGGAGGATGGGAGGGGGTCAGGGGTTTAACGCAGAGGTCAAACTTCAAACTTGTACTTTCTCAACCTGAAGGGGAAGAGGACAGTTGTGATGGGAGCGGGGAGGAGGGGGAGGAGGAGGCTTGATTGGCCCGATCCCCGATGCCAAAGCCCTTTCAGGAACCCTCCAGGTTCGGTTGCATGGCGCGGTGCGGTGTACAGCGAGAGCGCCAATGCTGCCAGTTTGAGCGCAAGGCAGACGAGCGAACCCACGGTGCGAAGGTACCATAACAAAACCAACATCACTCCCAATGCTCCCGAAGTGAAGGAGGCGACAGACTTTTGAAGCATCATGTGTTTTGGGGTGAACTTTGGTGTCTGGACCTTCTCTTGGGCCTCCTCTTACGATTACTCGGAGTGCCTTGGACCGTGTTCGAGGCCCCTTGGTCATTTTGGAGTCCTTCTAAGGCCGTCTTCGATGCCGTCTTGGACATCCTCGAATCTTTAGAGTCTGCCCGGTTTGCGTCAGGCCACCCAGAGCCGCGAGAGGGGGGGGGCGATTCATGCGGGGGGTGCTGCGAGGCGGTGATCTCAAACGTGTTCAGGAGCCCGACCTGACGAGACTTGGTATCATACCGTGCCCTGGCGTGCCATGGGGGCGCGGAGGAGGAGGAGGAGGAGGAGGAGGAGGATGAGGAGGAAGGAGGAGGAGAGGAGGAGGAGGAGGAGGAGGCGAGGATGAGGCGGATGAGGAGGTGAGGAGATGAGGAGGAGGAGGAGGAAGGCAGGGGAGGGGAGAGGGGGAGGAGGAGGGGAGGAGGAGGAGCAGGAGGAGGAGGAGGAGGAGAGGAGGAGGAGGAGGATGGGAGGAGGGGAGGAGGTGGAGGAGGAAGAGGCGGATGTTGCAGGCCCAAAGAGGCAGAACAAAACCGTGGCGCTCAACCCAGCGCGGCCAACGTGCCCTGGCCAACGGCCAACGTGGCCAACGGCCAACACCAAGGGCACACGCGCAAAAAGGGGGAGTCACGGACACAAGCTGGGACCTGACCCCCGGCTTCCTTTCCCTGACTAACCCCCAATCGCGCCAGACACGCTGCGCCTTAGGGAGGAAATCACGAAAGAACGCAAACCAAGGATCGCCCTACACCCCGCGCCAAAATGGCGCTTGGGGGTTCGGGATCGGCGCCCAAAGGACAATACACGGAGCGTTGCCCAGCGCCCGCACCCCACAAGCACAGCAACAGTATGCCCGCGGCAAAGAGCACTGCAACCAAGAGGTTGCAGGCAGGAAGTCGCGGGCCCGAGGGGGAGGGGGAGGGGGAGGAGGAGGAGGAGGAGGAGGAGGAGGAGGAGGAGGAGGAGGAGGAGGAGGAGGAGGAGGAGCTCGGCAGCGGCTAGGAAGGTGCCACCACATTAAACATGCATCAGCCGGCAAACTAACTCCAATGAGTTAGAAGGGGCCGACATCCTCTTCGGGCGGCACAAACTGCCGTTGGTGCGCCCGCGCTCTGAGACCGAGAGACTCAGCCTCCTCCCGAGATCGGAACCCAAAGAGAGATAGGCCTCGATGAAGGTCGACCCCAGTGCCCGCCCACCGCGCCGCCCCCACCCTCCCCCGAGAAGAGGCGGCCAGAGAGCCTCTGGACGGCGGCGGCGCGAGCGACGGAACGGCGTCGAGAGATATCTTCGACGCCAAGAAGTCCCGAGCGGGGCCCGACAACACGGACGCTGGGGACACACGAAAGCTGCTCTTGGATGGGTGGCGGCTTTGCGAAATCCAAACCGACTGCCGCTCTCGGCCCGACGAGCGGTGCCCAACACATTCCGACGCGAGGGCTGTTTTCCCCCCGTGATTTCCGACAGTGCGTACCGAGCCACAGGTCCCCTTCCTGCTCCTCCCCCTTCCCGTCTCCCTTTCCCTCTCCCCCTTCAGGTCCCTTCCCCTCCTCCCCCTCCCCCTCTTTCTCCTCTTTCCCCTCCTCCTCCCCCCTCCTCCTCCTCCTCCTCCTCTTCCTCCTCCTCCTCCTCCTTCTCCTCCTCCCCTTTTCTCCTCCTCCCTCCTCCTCCTCCTCCTCCTCCTCCTGGCTCTTCTTCCTCCTCCTCCTCCTCGCCTTCCTCCTCCTCTTCTCTTCTTCTCCCCCCATCTCCGCTTCTTCCCCGTCCCCCTCCTCCGCCCCCCCTTCCCCCCTATCTCCCCGCTTCTTTCCCTTCGCCCCTTTTCCACCTCCTCCCCCTCCGCATCCTCCTCCTCTACTCCTCCTCCTCCCTCCTCCTCCTCCTCCTCCCCCTCCTCCGCCGCCTCCTCCCCTTCCTCCTCTTCCTCCTCCTCCTCCTCCTCTTCCTCTTCCTCCTCCTCCTCCTCCTCCTCCTCCTCCTCTTCCTCCTCCCCCCCCTTCTCTGCGTCCTCATCCTCCTTCTCCTAACCCTCCCATTTCCGCCTCCTCCTTCTCCTCCTCGCACCCTCCCGCTCTCTCCTGCCCATCCTGGCCCAGGTGGCGGACACGTGGCAGACCGCCTTCCTCATCCACGCGGAGCTCGGGGACGGTAGCGCGGCGCTGGAGGCCAGGCGGTCCCAGCGGGACGCCTACAGGGGCGCGGGCTGGAAGCACGAGGAGGCCCCCCCTGCCGAAGCCAGCGGAGGAGGAGGAGGAGGAGGAGGAGGAGGAGGAGGAGGAGGAGGAGGAGGTGGAGGAGTAGGAGGAGGAGGAGGAAGAGGCGGAGGAGGAGGAGGAGGAGGGGAATGCTGATGATGCTGATGATGCTGATGCTGCTGCTGATGATGATGCTGCTGATAAAGATGATGATGCTGATG